TTTATATTTCATTAAAAAAATGGGTAATTTGTTGTGTTTTGGGGCATTTAATTAAATTTGTCACTAAATTTTGGGGTTTAATAAGGAGTTGCGCTAATATTGCGCAACATAAAAATTTTCAACTACCACCATTTTATTCTATAGGGTCTTGGCATTCAGAAAATATATAATGTGTGGGGGTTTTACGTCATTTTCAGGCCTAAAATGTGGAATATAACATGGGTGCAAAAAATGAAAAAAGGCCCTCAGTCATGAAGGGGTTAAAGTTAGTCCATAAAGCAGCATTGGGGGGAATTTTGACTATAATGTCACTTTGAGGGCCATTCACACCAGATGCAGTGCGTTCCGACCTGATTCTGGTTAGAAGTACTGCCTCGCATTGCAGCCGACTCACTTTTTTGTGGGGCAGGAGGGGGCGTGGCGGGCCATTGAAGTGAATGGCACCGTAGCAACCCTCAATCGGCTGCATGGGATCACAAGGCACATTATGCCCGCGGACTTGTCCTGTGCGATCAAAATGCCGCAAGCACTATTTTGACCGCACCGGAACGCACTGCATCTGGTGTGAACGGGCCCTAAGTCCTCATCTATTCAAGGGTTGTGCCCCTAAATGTATTGGCAGAACTAATAAAATGATGAAGAGCTTTCTAGTCTGTGCTTCAGCTGTATACGCTGACACCAAATGTGAACCTACAGCAAGAAAGTATTTGCGGAGTATCACCTAGAGGGCTGCTTTCATCAGACATTGTCTATGTACAGTGTAATGGTTTTCAGAAATTGTGAGGGATAAAAGAAAGGGATCTCCCAGGTAAACATGGACACCACTAACAGTATATGCTCTAGTGATATGAGGTGAAAGTTACAAAATGACACATTATTAATAGTTCAAAGACTTCTCATCTATGAATGGCCAGAAACAGCTATAAGACAACAGCTTTAGCTTCTTCTTTATTATTGTTCCCCCAGGGTCATCTGAGAAGAGGGTTCTAGTCCTAGACAGCATTGACATTTCTCAATACTATGAAGAAAGAAAAAAAACAATTACAGTTGAACAACTGAGGATCTGTTAAAGGGTCCAATACAATTCGAGGGATTTTCTTTATTTATATGACTGTAATTCATCACATTAGCTCACTGCGGTTAGTTGTAATTGGTTACAGCCTCCTCTTTTCATGAAGTCTTGTAAAAGATTCTTACGCCTGAAGGGGCGGCCCCATGTCACCAGCCTACAAGCACACACTGGCTTTGTAAGCCTTTACAGATTTCCTTCTGTACATCTATTTTCACAGGCAAAAGTCCAAAGCATAATGGACAGCCCTTTTCTTCTTTCAACTGAATGTATTACTTAAGTCGGCATTTAAATATGCATGTATAGCAGCCTTGTTGTAGTCATGTGGCAAGGAGGGAGAGTAAAACACTGCAAGGTCCCACATTTACTCCGTTGAGGATTACACATGCCTTACCGAAATACAGGCAGTCCCCTGGTTACTTACAAGATAGGGACTTTAGGGTTGTACTTAAGTTGAATTTGTATGCAAGTCGGAACAGGTCAAAAAATTTTAAGTGTAACTTTTTACAGTTTTGGATAGCATAGGGAAGGGTAACGTTTGTTTTGCTGTCTGTTCCTGTTGTTCAGAAGATTATAATATCATATCATTGAAAAAATGTTTTATTTAAAATGACACACCCAAAAAAGTTTTTTTTCTATTTTTAATTAAATTTTATTTCTTTTTTTGCATTTTTAATTTTTATTTAACTTTTTTTACATTTTTTTGTCTTTTTAATTTTATTTTTTGAAACTATTTTTTAAATTATTTTTGTATTTATTTTAATGCTGGGAGCAATAGCCAGCCTGCTATTGGATATTTCAAATTGCAATAGCCAATAGCAGGCTGGCTATAGCATCTGCCTGCTGTCAATCAGCAGAGGAGGGGCCTGAAGGAGAAAGTTCTCTATCCGGTCCTCCCATGCTGATTGACAGCAGGCAGTGGGCGGGTGCAATAGCCAGCTTGCTATTGGCTATTGCATTTTACAATATCCAATAGCAGGCTGGGTATGGCTCCCAGCCTGCAATGAAGAGAAGGCAGGGGGGCGGGGCAGAGGAGCCGCGGCCGTACCAAGAAATCGTAGGATCGTCCGGACCGGGGTAGCCACCGGATTGGCGGAAGAGGACGCCGGGACATCAGCGGAGATACGGGGGCAGCAGAGGAATGCAGCGGTCTGTGTCGCCGCTGCCTCCGCCAATAAAGGCGGGAGAGCAGCGGGGGTTTGAAGGGACACAGGCCGCTGCAGCCACAGTTCTCCTAAATGAACCGGCAGCTGCTGGTACATTTAGGAGAACTGTTGACCCCGGTTCCTAAGTACGATTGTCCGTAAGTCGGACGTCCGTAACCCGGGGACTGCCTGTATTGAGGGTTTATTAGGAAGCGCCAGTCGGGCGGTGAAGATGACAAGGAGGCCGTGTCGGGCGCTGAGGATGAGGAGGCCGTGTTCCAAAGAGGTCAGGCTGTGCAAGGTAAGAGGGTTGTGCTGGCAGAGCCCAGCATAGATTCTGCACAGCCCACCAAAGAGTCTCAGGTGTGCTGTGCAATACCTTTTGGTTGGCTCTGCAGAAGGAGGAATAGTGGTCATATACACGAATAGAATGTGATTTGGATCAGCACTTATATAAAAAGTTGTGAGGTGCTTAAGGGCCCATTTACATCTGTGCAGTGTGTATATGCACATGTGTTAAGTCACACGCTAACATGCATTGCATTCAGGCAGCCCATTGAATTAAATGGGCTCCTGACACACCAAAACGTCCCAAATATCAGATATGTTACAAAACATATATTACCATGCACTACAGTGCATTGCAATACATGTGCATTGCCCTAATGTACTGGGGTGCTATTTAAAATAAATGGCACCACAATTAGTCCATTCATGAAGCCTGCATTGTTGTAAATGTAAATCGGCCCTAAAACTAAACTATTTTGGATAATACTGTTCCGGCAGACAAGGCATTTTTTTTAAAGCATTTATTGTTTACTGTTTGTTTTTGTTTTTTCATTTTAATTTAAAGGACCACCACAGCTCAATTATGTAAAAGGGCCACTAACAGCCTTCACATGTATGTGTGTTGAAGCTCCCATATCTGCTTAGTCATTGTGATACATTGCTTTGCAGCATATTCTTTTAGGATTAAGTAGCCAGGAAAAAGAAGGCACAAAAATGATGGCAACCATCTTTTACAGATTTGCAGGATTACTGGACAGGATGTCACCCTTTGGAGAATTTCTTTTAAAAGAGAACTCCAGCTAGAAAATGAGGATGGCCCTCAAAAGGGGACTCAATACATGGTTGGTAAGGTTGAATAAAGGCACAGGTCCATTCAATGCAGTGTGTGTACATACTTACTAAAGAGATTCCCCTCAATTTCTGTGGGGACATGAAAGAAAATTATGAAAAATCTCTGAGGATTGGATAGAGTTCCATTTATAATAACCTTTGTCCTTACAAAGTCATGAAACTTTGAGACATCCCTGTATGAATGGTTTTACCTTTTACATACACCAACTTGTGAATATGTTCTGTGGTCTTTTAAAACAGAAAAAATGTCCAACCATCTTATAAATATGTGAAATGAAGCAGAGGAGCCAAAGAAAGAGAGAGCAAGAGAGAGACAGAGGATCATAATATAAAATACCCATATTGAAATTTGTCTGTGAAGGTTCTCATTCATCCAGGTTATATCTGTAAAAAATAAATCAAAGCAACTGGACTTGCTGTATTTTTCTTTAAGCCGTTTCGCTGATCGGACCAGCTTTCTCAATTCAATTCTTAACTGAGAAAGATAGTATGATGATCAGCGAAACATCTTTAAGAAAAAAATAATACAGCATATTGACATAGTATTAAGAGTAACAGTTGTTACTTTAAAGTTTATTTTGAATTACCAATCCTGTGGATACCTTTGTCCAAGAATTCAATATGAATCTGTTCTTAAAATAAGAGCTGCACAGACACTAATGCAATGAACCACACAGCAACAAAAATAAATATAGAAACGCCCAAAGCCTTCCTACAATGGCACTACAGCTTACCAGCACAGGTACACACATGCTGCCAGCAGAATTTGTCCTGTACCCAGAACTAGCAGGGGAACCAGCACGGACATGCAATATAAATACAATCTGCATCTCTACTAAAAAAAATGTGCAACAAAACACAAATCCAGCTTAGGAGCCAAACGAGGAAAGGCTTGGCAAACATGGTGGGAAGAATTATATGTTAGAAGGTTCTACAGCATGTCTCTAAGGCTGCTTCACCCGTCAGCCCTTAGGTCTTGTTCACACCGAAAGTGTGTGCGTTCCAGAGCGGTAGCTGCTGGAACGCACCGGAATCGCTGTGAAAACTCCCCGCCCCCGCGTTTTGGGGTGGGAGGGGGCATGGCGGTGCATTGTATTCAATGGCACCGCTTCCACGCCCCCACACAGTGCGATCGAACGCGCGCCAAAACTTTGAGTTCCACTGCAAACGCAAAAAATAGGGCTTGCCCTATTTTTTGCGTTTGCAGTTAAATGCAACACTGACAAAGTTTTGCCACGCGTTCGATCGCACTGCGGGCAGGGGGGCGTGGAAGCGGTGCCATTGAATACAATGCAGCGCTACGCCCCCTCCCACCCCAAAACGCGGGGGGGGGGGAGTTTCACAGCGATCGCGGTGCGTTCCGGCAGCTACTGCTCTGGAACGCACGCGCTTTCGGTGTGAACAAGCCCTTAAACCAGGGACAGGCAATCTTTATGACCAAGAAAAAAGAAAGAACTACAATACAGTCACAATGCAGAAGTACTTCAAATGATTAGCTCTGATTTAACCCCAAAATTGCTACAATGAATCAAAAGCAAGCAGGCACGGGACACACAGACATTCATGATGCAACAAGACTGGAGGAAGGGCAGAAACAAGCGGAAAGCAATGAAGTGACATGACAAGACATGTAACAATCAAAATACCTGAGGCTTAGTGCATTCCTGTGAGCCAAAATGAAATGAATGCCATAGAAGAGGAAAGGAAAATATGGAGATTACCAAGACATGCTATTAAATATCCCATCACTATGAAGATTGTGTGGAGAGGGGCTTGATAATGAGAAGCCTTGTATGGCTTCCCAATCAGCTCTTCCTCATTTAAATATCTGGAGAGCCATGAAACCATCCAAGCACTATTCCGAGTGCCTGGTAAATTCTACTGCCTTTCCAGACCAACCTTATAGATTCTCACAGAGATCAACTCATATCATGGTCACTCATTGCATATAAAAAGAAAAAGGAGGATGGTATTTAATAGTTCTACAGGGAACTTACCATTTAAATGATCCTCATTTTAGTCAGCAGGAATAGTTAGAGCTGAACACTTCATACCAAGAACACAACAATATTTCTGTGCATGAGCTTTTATCAATGTATATTCACAGAAGCATTCTTTTCAGAAGGAAATTCAAGTTTGTATTGGGGGTGAGATCTACTGGTCTCTGTCAAAAACACAGACCTGCCAGAGCCCAACGTAAATTTGACCATATTATGCCAATATTAGTATGCGGTATATGCACACTGTAAGGACCAGACATTTCTCACCATGTGGCATCACATTTCCCACTTGGGATAGCAAGAACTTATACACTGTGCAATTCTTTTTTTCTTTCAATTCATTTCATTGAGGATTGTTTCAATCTTATATCACATTGCTATATGACAATAGTATAAACAGTAGAGAAAAGTACATAGAACCATTACATAGAAAATTACAAAAGATTATGACTTCCAGCCACTATTATCAGATAATAAAATACAAGGGAAGCAAGCTGACGATATAACAAGCATACCTGTGGGGATCCCCTAACTACATAGACCGTTGGGTCCCAAACACACAAACAAAATGTGTATATACCAACTTATATATGTAGGAAAGGGAGGGAATGAATAGCAAAGGAATGGAGGGAAGGAGGAGAGAGAAGAAATTGTATAAAATGGGGGTCAGGGGACAAAAATAGGTGAGGAGTGTGGAAATATAGAGAGTTAGGCTCTGTTCACACCTAGGCATATCGAATATGCGCGTTTGTCGCGCGTTTCGTGATGCGCGTTTTTACAGCGATTTGCGGTAAAAACGCTCGACAAACGCGCGTTTCCTAAGGCTTCTTGGCTGTATCCCAATGGAAACGCTCGACAAAAACACCGCAAAGAAGCTCATGTACCTTTTCAGGCGTAGGACGTTTTGTAGCGCGTTCAGACCATACCCATAAAAAACAATGGGATTTTCATGTTTGAGCGTTTTGTAGAGCGTTCGTAGAGCGTTGAACGCGCTACAAAACGTACAGGTGTGAACCAGACCTAACTGATAGGGTGGCAGCCAGTCAGATGAAGGGGACAAGGAAACAATAGTATGCCTAACCCCAAAGAGGAGGCCTAAACAATAAGTGAGCTTAAACTCAAAGTTCCCGCCAGAAAATAGTCTAGCCAGGAGGTCCAGATAAGCTTAAAATTTTCTTATTTATACTCCTGAAATGCTGTACGTTTCTCAAAAGCATTGATTGCAAGATGCTATTTTTCATTTCTGCAAAGGGTAGTGTTGATGAATTTAATGCTGTTGAAATGGCTCTTTTGAACGCTGTAAGATGTGGGTCACTAGCTTAAAGATTGTTGATGCAGGAATCTGGTTTTTACAGAGGACACAATCCAATTCCTATAAGCAATGCTCAAACTGTCCATGCCACTTGCAAGTTTAATGCCTTCCTACATATAACGCATTCTGATCATCTGCTACCATGTAAGGGGCAAAACTCATTGCAGCTGTCAATGTTACAGTCCAGCAACTTCTGGGTCTACTCTATATAAGACTATAACAGAAAGCTTCTGATTACACCATGAAGTACGGACACAGCTGTAATCTCAGCAATCGTGCGCAGTGCATAACAAGAGACTTCCTGAAGAACATGATGCAGGCTGCCTTACATTACTTATACAATACAGGAGAATAAACTGATTGTTTCTGAACTGAATACATATAATAGAATACTTTAGAATACAAAAAGAAACCAAAACAACCTAAAAAAGGGGTTAGACTTGATGGACCACTTTGCCCTTTTCTGTCACCATTCTTCTATATTTCCTCTATGTAACTTCCATATAGTGGGTCTTTTTGCTGTATAACACTGCTACAATTATTAGTAGTGATGCACCCATACTAGTATCGGTACCGATGCCGAGAACTTGTAAATGCCCAAATGCTCCAATACCTAGCCTGATACTTGAGCTTCCGGTATCAAGTAGCCAGGCAGCGAGTCATTACATACTGCCAGGGATTGGCCGGCAGCTTCCCGGGCAATCAGGAAGCTGGGGCGCCGCGTCATCACATGCTGCCCGGCTTTCTGATTGGCCAGGAAGCCGGCTTTATGCTCCCACCTGGATTCCTGATAAGCCGGGCGGCGTGTAAAGACTCGCCTCCCGGCTTCTTGATTGGCCAGAAAGCCGGCTCCATGCTTTCTCGAGAAGCATGGAGATGGCTTCCCTGCTAATCAGGAAGCCAGGTGGCAAGTCATAACACACCGCCTGGCTTCCATAATGGGACTTCCGGTATCAGTATTCAGTATCGGCGAGTACCGAAAAAAAAAAATATCAATACTCAATACCGGAAAAAACGGTATTGGTGCATCCTTAATTATTAGTATTAGCCAAACTGACTTTTATTGCCCAATGGTCACACATTTCCAATTTCCCTTCTAGCTATGCAAAGATATGATTACTGTGCAATGAGCAGCCACCTCTAAATCAATATATCGGATTTAGTGATAACTATATGAAGGCTGATCCATTTAAATGTCAGCAATGAATCAATAAAACTAGGGGGAAATATCTGAGTTTGCTTCTGTAACCACTAGATAGCAGCTGCCATTTTTCTACACAAGCTACAACAGTAAATATCTGATTTAATGCTTTAGACATCAAAAAAGAAAAAAAAAACTTCTTACGTAACCTAGTTGGTATTCATTGTCATAAACAGCAAATACATACTGTATATACATTTATATAGTGGCAATTAACTCACCAATAGTCAGAGTTTTGGCAGTAGGGCCATTGGCTCAAAAACACAACCCCCACCCCCTCAAAAGTGCTTAAGTACACATGTACAGTGTCTAATGACTCTCATATAATCAAATGTGTAAAACGAATAGCTCCAGGCACCATTTTGTCAAACTGACAGGACACTCTATTAAATAGTTGGGGGCACTTATCCTGAAAACAGGATTAATCCTTTGTACTTGAGAGCAGACCACTCCTTAAAGGAGAACTATGAGGTCAGGGCTTTTCCCCATAGTTCTCCTAAGGGTCACGGGAGAACACAAACTAGCGTTCTCCCGTGACCCAAAGCTCAGTATACCGCAAGTTACAGCTCGCGGTATACTGAGATGCCGCAGCCGGGACGGATCCTGACAATGCTGTCTGGATCCACCCAGCTGCGGGATTTACAGCTGGCTCTGCCTATCCAGAGGCAGAGCCAGCTGTGTCCGCCCCCTCCCCCATCCGATTCGCCAGGCAGCGCTGGAGGATCTGACAGGGGAGGGGGGGGAATCCCTGAAGGGAGCCGTGACTGACAGTCACGGCTCTCTGCAGGGATAGATCGAGAAGTGAGTGAGCGCGGGTATGTGTTCACTGACTTCCCGCTCTATTGAGCCGACCTGTGACAGTTTCATTTTCACAGGTCGGCTCAGATTATGAGGCTGAGTGAAAATCACTCAGCTCATAGTTCTCCTTTAATAAGGAGGAACTGTGCTGGCAATTTTACAGATTGGTGCTGGGAGCAACATGTGTGTTGCGAGCCCTGCCTTAATGTTTTTCTCTGACAAAACAAGAAACATTTTTTTTTTTAATGCATGTTCATTATTTTTTTTAAATTGACTATATTGGAAATCATTCTTGCTGTTGCCAAAATGCATTTATTGAAAAAAAAAACTGCTACATATGCAAATGCCACTGTTATTTAGTTACTGCACAACCCCTACAGAAGGAAAATCGGTATAAAAACAAAAACGTAGCATATTTGTGTATGACTCGGCTGTGGATCCTCAAATCATCTCTGAAGTGGTGCTGACACTGTCCTTCCTTCTGCAGGGTGGCTACTTTTCTTCCCCATGGCCCCTGTGTGTGTGTAAAATAACCATTGCTCCGATCTACAATCTCAAACTCACTCAAGACTACAAGCTCGATATAAACTAGTAAGCTAAACGTGAGATTGTAGTCCATCACAGGAGTGAGCTTGGAGTGGTGACTACTTTACAACACACACAGGGACCATGGGAAACAAAAGTAGCCCCCCTCCAGAAGGAAGGACAATGTCGGCACCAATTAAGAGAGGACTTGAGGCTCTACAGCTGAGTGATACTCAAATAATCTAAATATTTGTTAATAGTTAGGGTACTTGAATGTATTTTTAAGATTTAACTCCTGAGCTTAGTGTCACTTTTAAAGTGTTTTTTCACGTTATATGTTCCCATTTCCATTTTACTCGCCTAAAAATCCTACTTAGCTTTCCCTATCTAATGTCAAGGAGGGGACTGGGGAGTTATGTTTACCATAATTAACCCTGTCTGGACTGTGCTGGCAGTTTTTTATTTTCACTAGTAAACTAGATGTGCGCATGGTCTGCCCTAATAAATGGTTAAAGATCTCAAGGCATGGGTGATACATTTTATGTTAATACCTTTAAAAAAACAAAAACTGTCCGTGTGTATAAACCTGCTCCAGAAACAACTAGAAAGGTCTGAGATCTTTTTATAAATGATTTTTAGCTATGCTCTGTGAAGGGGGACACAACAAACATATAGTGGGGGTTTCACAAACCTGACTGCAAAGGTGGAATCATAAGCTACTGGCCTTTTAAAGAAATATGGGGGATAGGGGGAAATATTTGACTTTACTGGCTTTTAAAAGAAAGTCAAACCTTGCTGTAACACAGTGTGTCCTAAATGACTAATACATGAACAAGCAGAACAGCCTCTTCTACAGAACACAGTGTGAGCGATCAGGGTGTGTATGTTCATGATCTGGAAGCAATAGTGAAACTATGTAAAGGGCAGCATAATCCAAGGCTTCTTCCCCAGCCAGCAATTGGGTGTGAGGGTACAGCAGAGCCTAATGTTACAGAGACTGAGATCCCTACTCTGCTCCAGCGTAGCAGATAATACAGCATGTTGTAATGCTGGCTTAAAGGGCAAAAAGAGGGCAAAGGTTGCCTTGTAGGAGAGAGGTACGAGTCTAGACAGATGTAACCACGCACACAAAACACAGGCTCTCCAGATCTAGGCTAATTCCTTCCAGCACCTTAATAGAATTTCAACATTTCTCAGCGCTGCATCAAGGGTCATGGGATTAAGGGCGCTCTTGAGACCCATCTCTTCTGCTAATCATTTCAGCAGAATGGAAGTAAATTGTACTTGATTTAGTAATGCTCCACATATTTCAATTGTGCTACACACAGTGCACTCGATTGTCACTTTACACTAGGAGAAATCAGGAGTTTTCAGCAGTCTAAATGAACAGAAATACAGTAAAGCATAAAAGGTTTCTCACCGTGTGGTAGCCTCTTGGAAGGGGAGGTTTTCCAACAGGATAAGGCTCCACAGTATCGATGATTGTCTGTCTCTCTCCTTTCTGATTAATCTTCCTGAATCTCCGGCGAGACTGTCTGTGAGATGCTTGTCGCTGGAAATACTCTTCATTTTCATCCATATAGTCCACCTTAGGAAGACAAACAATCAAAAACATATAAATAGCTCTACCTAGTTATCAAAATAACTAAACAAGCTCAAGTAGCAGAAGACAGAATGCCAATCAGGTTAACAGTACTGGTCATTCCCGTGCTGAAATCACTGATCATTTCATACTGGTACCTTGGAAACTACAAGCTGGTCAGACAGGTCTAGGAAACTTGGAAGTGACCTGCATTAGCCAAGAAAATGGCAGAATCTAATCTTTTAACCGCAAGCTAACACACACAAAAGGCAATGAAGCTTATTTAAAAAATTGTGCAGAAAGCAATAAGGTACTTAACCCCTTCATGACTGAGGCCTTTTTTTCATTTTTTGCTCCCATGTTATATTACACATTTTAGGCCTGAAAATGACTTACAACCCCCAAACATTATATATTTTCTGAATGCCAAGACCCTATAGAATAAAATGGTGGTAGTTGGAAATGTTTATGTTGCGCAATATTAGCGCAGCTCCTTATTAAACCCCAACATTTAGTGAAAAATGTAATTAAATGCCCCAAACCACAACAAAATATCAATTTTTTTTATGAAATATAAAAGATGAGGTTACAACAAGTAAAACGATACCCAACATGCCCAGGTTACAAATTGCGTGCGTCCGTGAAACGGCGATCTGTTTGCCTGAGGACGGGAACACTAGCGAGTGACTACTTTCATCTACCTCATGTATATCAGACTCCTACCATCACAAAATTTTGAGGCACCCATAAAGAAGACAGACGGCACCTCAGCATGCCACTGCACTCCGCTTGAGAAAGGCTAACCTATAGTTCAGTTTACTGAAGGTACCTAAGGCTCACCACACAAGTTACATTCTGACTATACAATCTCCTTGATCTACCAACAATTATAGCGCAAAGGTCTGTCTGTTGGATACCGACTGATTGTATAATTTAGGTAGGCCCTCGTAATATATAGTTTCTGTAAATCTAAAGTTGAGTGTACAAAGATTGTATGGTCAGAATGTAACGTGTATGGGGAGCCCATGACAAATAGCCAGATTTCCACAACTCATATTTGGGTTGCAGAGGGTCACAGAGCAAGTGACATAACATTCTAAACAGGGAGGACAAGTCATGGCAGCACTCCGTGTTTGTTACAAAGACATACATCGTGTAAAACTGCTCTACCACATTTTATTATACCGGCATGAAGAAAAAATACCATTACTATTGGAATTATAGGGGGAAGCACACAAGTTTTCCTCATTTTGCTGCAGGAGTTTTTCTGGATGTTGGATGAGTTTTAGAAATCTTGCTTCCAGAGTGAAATAAGGAGCACTGTGCATGTTTTGCCCTCAGGAAGGAAGGAAGGAAGTGGTCTGATTACTCCTTCTGGAATGCCAATATTCTCATAGAGGACTGTGGACCACACCCATCCCCCATTAGGTAATGCAGGGAAGAGTTGTAGGACAAGAAAGAGGAATGCCTGCAAATGATCAGCAGATGGGTGAGCAGCATATGATAAGTGTACAAATTAGACTTACCACAATCATTTCGGAGGGTTCCAACACAATGCATTCACAACCACGCCTGAAGCTTCCTGCAGATCTTTTGCCAAAGCTGTGGAAACACCAAACAAAGGAAAACATTGGATTGAGAGTAAAAATCATTTGTGCAGGAACATTAGAATTTGTGCAGTCTATTGCTGGACAATTGAGCACATAGAGCAGTAGGAAATATAGCCCAACAAAAGTACACGATTCGTGAGAAAATGCTTGTTGGAACTGCAAGGTCTCCAGATAGTAAAGCCATGACTGCAGCTATGGTTCACATGCTCCCCGACTATTCCTCAACAAGCCTCCTATTGCCTGAGCAAATTATTCCCAGCCAAAACTGTTGTCAACAGATGTTTGCTCTTTATACGCAGGGTCCCGATGGCAAAGAGCCAGACGGATGAAACCCCCATATCTAAAAGATCTGGACAAAAGACCGATTCAATGGAAAACAGAATGCAGTTTGTCAACAACCATAAACCTATTGTACACAACTTCACTATACTTGAGAATATTAAAATGTGAAATTGAACTTTATGCCATTAACCTACACTGGCATGGTGCAGTTATTTCCTCAAATGTTTCCTGACGCCTGTTTGACCAGTACTTCTGATCAAAGGTGGCTTTCAATACACTAAAGAGAGTAATATGGCAAATGTGGCATTTGTACGGTCAGCACGACGCACTGTTTTTGGAAGCCATGAGTCCTACTTTAGATTGGACTAATCTATCCCCGGCAGCCTCATGGTTAATGTAAATAAATTGACCTGCAATATCATGTATAGCCAACAAGCTGAATGGAAAGAGAGCATACACTAAGTGCTCATGTGTACCAAGTTCTTTGGGTTCAGGAATGACATCAATAGGTGCTCTATGTTCCGATTTTATTTCCTATCCAGATTTCAAGGCTCTCTCTGCTGTCTATACATGACCCCTGCAAATGTGTTTGTGGGTTGCTTTGAGCTCTGGTAGAACAACCAACGTAGCCTATAATCTCTAGTTGAGCAATGTGCTCCTAGTACTGCCTCACTGTATAATATCAGCTTCAGCTGTCTAACTAGAAAAGAAATGCAGTCAGTTGTATCAGCAACAATGATGACTTTGTTTTAATTAAAAAAAAAAAAAAAAAAAAAAAAAACA